AGAGAGAGAGAGAGAGAGAGAGAGAGAAATAGATAAATATAGATATATACTTATACATTATAGATACTAAAATCTTCTTTACTTCTCTACAAACTACCAATAACCTACATTAAATCACTGTGTAGTATTTTTGGTGATTTAGTCATTTTTTAATGCATGCATCATAAGGTTAAAATACTGGGTCAGACAGGGGCCACTTATGCTTTTAAGGGGCACATTTTATCATTTATGTTAAGGTACTTTCAGGATTATTTCAAGTAATTTTTTACTGTCATGTATCACTACAATCTCTAGATGCATAGACAGAGAGTGAACCAACTCCAGGGTAAGGCTAAAAGTATCCAAGTGCAATCTATTACAGTTTTTCTCGATTGCTTAAACACTATCACCAGGCTTTTGAACTAAAATTTCAAAACCATAACGCCATTTATCAAAAAGCACACCCATTTCCCTAAACTATAAACACTATTCCCCTTTTTGACACATGAATCAGATTTGTTGAACTGTCACTTCAAAACTCTACACACAAATACCTTAATTTCTCATTGCCTAGGCCCTAGACCATGTTGTCATTTAGAAAGCACTAGCATTCAATATTGTTCACTCAAGTCAGCATAGCTTGAGCTCAATTAGCACACAGTTACCCACGTGGAAACACTAAGAGTCTAAATTTATCACACACCAATCAGAACCTTCAATAGATACTGTAGATAAAAGAGCCCAAGTCAGTTCATTCAGTTTTGGAACAATGGATCCAGAGAGATGTGATTGAAAAGGTCGAGGACACCAGAGAGGAGGAGGAGGAGGAAGAGGATGAGCAAGAGCAGTAAGGAGTAGAGGAAGAGGTGAAGGAAGAGGAAGAGGGGGAGGGGGAGGATGAGGATGAGGGGCAAGGAGACAAGGAGTCTCAGATGAAATTCGTGCCACTAGTTGACCATGTCCTTGTCCATGGTATGACTATGAGGGAGGCTGGGCAATGAGTTCAGCCAAACTTAAGTTGCTTCACCGTCGCCTCGATCATAAGAACCTTCAGGGAGGAAAACAGGTAGGTGTACCTCAGTGTACTCTACTGTAACTTTTGAGTGCTGTACTCTGTTACAACACATGCATCAAATTGCCTTACATACAGATAGAGTTTCTGTCTGCTTCCATTTTGTAAAAAGGATGTTACAGTTACAGTAATCAGTACTTCTATTTTTGTAGGACACAGAGACGATGGAATGGAAGAAGCCTGACTAGACATTTCAGCTGATGCCAGGAGGTGGATCAGGCATGCAAGAGGATTTCCCCCCCGCTGCCTAGCTAGGGCCAGTATATGTGATGGGGAATTGACTGAGACGTTATGGATTTGTGTTTACTGTTTTGAGAATATGAGGCATAGTTTCAAGAAATGTGTTTAAGCAATCGAGAAAAACTGTAACTGCACACATCATAAACCCGTCATTTTAGGCAAGTACCAGATATGGGTGTCAGGTCATAAAATATTTTTAATGAGGCTGAATTTGTATTTAACATAATTTAATAAAAACATTGTAAGTATCGCAAAATATAATTACAGCAGAATTATACAGGGTTACAGAAATTACGCAAGCAAAGAACATTAACATTATCAAAAAACATTATCACTGACAGTCTAGAGCAAGTTTAAAGGGATAGTTCACCCAAAAATGATAGTTCTGTCATTAACTACTCACTCTCATGTCATTTCAAACCCGTAAGACCTTCGTTCATCTTCGGAACACAAATTAAGAGATTTTTGATGTAATCTGAGAGCTGTCTGACCCTGCATAGACAGCAACGCAACTGAAATGTTCCCAAGTCCAGAAACGTAGCAAGGAGATCTGTAAAATAATCCATGTGACATCAGTGGTTCAACCGCAATTATACGAAGTTACGAGAATACTTTTTGTGCGCAAAAGAAAAAAACAACAACTTTATTCAACAGCTGGTGCGTGACGCGTCTTCTTCTTCTTGCTTTACGGCGGATCGCAGATTTATAAGTGGATTACCGCCACCAAGCGCCGGCTGTTGAGAACGTGCTCAGGACAGTTCGGACATTGCGGTGAATCAGAGGTAAAAAACGATATAAATACTGTTCAGTTTCTTGCACAGACCGATTGTTTCGTGTCTTTAAGTCGTCAAGTTTATTTGTATAGCGCTTTTCACGATACAAATCATTGCAAAGCAACTTTACAGCAAATTAAGTTTCTACAATATTTAGTGGTAGCTTATCAGTGGTGACTGTCAGTTAATGTACATATGGCAGAAATGTACAGAAAAATCAATTTAAGATGTAATAAAACAGACGATGAACACTATTAACAGCAATTATTATATGATGCAATCAAACTTATAGCAAAATGTGGTAGTTCTGTATGTTGTTTCAGGGTTGGCATCATCTGAGGTCCTCTGAGGGGTTGGCATCATCTCTTCTCAGGTGTTCTGGATCCTACTAGATCTGAAGCTACTAGAATACTTTTTGCACACATAATAAAGAATGACTTTATTAAAACACTTTATTAAATTCTTCTCCTCCGTTTCACACTATAGGGCCATTTCAGAGAGTATCACGATGCACACGTGAGCTTTTCCTGCACGTAAACAACGCATGCGTGTGATGCTGCTTGTTTACATTCAGAGCAAAACACGCGCATACATCATGATACTCTCCAAATAGGCACTATAGGGTGATGCGAAGGAGAAGAGTTCTTGAATAAAGTCGTTCTTTTTGTTTTCTTTGCGCACAAAAGTATTCTAGTAGCTTCATAAAATTACGGTTGAATCACTGATGTCACATGGACTATTTTAATGATGTCCTTACTACTTTTCTGTGCCTTGATCATGGTAGTTCCCTTGCTGTCTATGGAGGGTCA